GGCTGGATTCGAACCCGCCACCTTAGGTGTTACGTGGCTGGCCCCTTAGCCACTTCAGCCACAGGCGCCGAGCCATACTCTTTTCTTTAAAAGGAAAAGTTTGTCTTTTCTTTTTAAAATTTTTTTGAGACAGAGTCTCACTCTGTTGCCCCAGGGCAGAGTACCCTGGCATCTTAGTTCACAGCAACCTCAAATTCATAGACTGAAGCGATTCTCTCGCCTCAGCCTCCCAAGGAGCTGGGACTACAGGTGCCAGCCACTACACCAGGCTATTTTTAGGGACGGGGTCCTGCTCAGGCTGGTCTGAACCCGTGAGTTTAGGCAATCCACCTGCCTTGGCCTCCCAGAGTGCTAGGATTACAGGCGTGAGCCACCATGTCCGGCCAGTTTTAACTGACTTCATTCTAAGTCTAGGATAACCCTTCAATTTCTTTCTTTTTCTCTAACATTAAAAAAAAGAAAAATCCAAGTTTACATTAAAACATATATGTGAAGTCGGTACTAACTTACTGCCAAGAATAGTTTTTGAATAAGCAGTTACGCTTTCCTAATATTTTACATGAATACCTGCATTTGAAAAAAATCCTATGGCTACTAATCCATACCTCACACTCATCTCTAAAGTTCCCTTTTAAAATGTACTCTCCCTTAAATTACTCCCCTTTATCAAGGTTTGATTAGTCACTTCGTTAAATTAACGTTGGACTAGTTTAAAGTTGCAAGGGATAACTTTTTGCTTCGAACACTAACAGCTGCTAACTTTCCACTTCAGCTGGTCAAGTTTTATTACTTACTGCTCTGGAACAGGTAGATGCACATACCTATTGTAAGGTCGTGAACGGGCTGGAACCGCTTGTCTGTGAACTGCAGGAGGAGACATGACTTCCCCACACCTGAAAGAGGAGAATGCGCGATCTAGGAGTGACGCGGCCGGAAACACCTTCTCCAGTCTGGGGGTCCGGGACAGGGAATGGGGAGAAGGGAGATGGGAAACCTGAACACCGAGCCCCGCCCCCGGCTGCACCGTCCCGCCCCGCCCCCGCCCGCTCGTCTCGCCCAGCCCACTAAGCGAGTCCCGCCCCCGCGACCCGATTTGGGAGCTTCGGCTCCCTGCCCCATCCTTGAAGGCGGTCCACCGCAGATTACCTGTGTCTCCGATGATGATGTACTTGAAGAGATAAGCATAAGTCATGATCTCGATTCCTCTGGATTCTGGGTACGCCCGACTTCTACAGCCACTTACCTCCGACCTCTCTAGCCACACAATCTACCGAGCTCCTTATTCCCCCCCACCCTCCGGCTCCTCTAGCCCAGATCACGTCTCTATTGTTCTCCGCAGAAATCCTCACTAGGTCCAAGAGTTCCCAACGCTACCTACAGGGACGCCTCTAGCATTTCTACGTGCCATTATCCCACCAAGCTCCAGGGGGCGATAGCTAGCTTTTCCGTACTGCAGCCCCACGGTGTTCTTTCCAATCAGCGGACAGCAACGCACGTCCTTGCGGAAGTGACGGCAGTTCCGAGACCAGTGGGGGAGGTGGGAGTAATGAAGAAACTGAGGCGGTGGTAGAGGTTGTGCGAAGATGGAGGTAGGAACCTGAGCGCTAAGAAAGCTGGCGAGAGAGCGCGGCTGACTGGGTTAAAGCAGAGGCGGGAAGCCGGGCGGAGAGGAGGCTGACGGGAGAATAAAGCGTGGAGTTTGGGGAGTGTTGTCAGAATGTCGGGGTCAGAATCCGTCGCTCCGGGCTAACTCCCTGCTCCCCCTAACTTATCCCCTCGGCTTTCTTTTGGTTTCTAGTTTCCCGGAGGAAATGACAATTACCTGACGATCACAGGGCCCTCTCACCCCTTCCTGTCAGGGGCTGAGGTAAGCAACAGTTGCCAACGCTGCGGTGGGAGGGCCGGAGGCAGCGGTGGGGTTGGCTGATGTGAGAGTGCGGACACCAGGGATTGGGGGCAGGGAAACGAGGGCTGCAATTGGTGCCTACAGAAAGGCGGCAGCTGCATCTACAGCCCTTGAGGACTGTCTGGGGAAAGCCCCGGAAGCTGCTGCCATCAGAAAGGCAGGGTGTTGGAAAGAGATAAACCAGTTTTAGGAAGAGAGTGACTCTAAATAAGAAGACAAGAGTAGAATTGTCTCCGTTCGCCGAGGATTGCAGTAGGAAGAACATTTCTCAACTAAAAAAATTGGGATATTGGAAGGAAGTTAACAAGCAGGGGGTAAACCGTGGACGTGTTCATTCCTGAACTCTGTTGAAGGGGTCCTTTTTTCTTTTCTTTTGAGACAGCCTCAAGCTGTCTACCCCCTGGGTAGAGTGCTGTGACATCACAGCTCACAGCAATCTCCAACTCCTGGGCTCAAGTGAGTCTCCTGCCTCTGCTTCCTAAGTAGCTGCGACCACAGGCGCCTGCCACAATGCCTGGCTATTTTTTGGTGGCAGCCATCATTGTTGTTTGGCGGGCCCAGGCTGGATTCGAACCCACTACCTTAGGTGTATGTGGCTGGCGCCTTAGCCACTTGAGCCACAGGCCCTGAGCCAAAGGGGTCCTTTTTTCATTTAAATTTCCTACTCTCATAAAAAGATTGTAGTTACCTTTACCTACTTGATGCCAGCTTGTTTTTTAGCAACAGGGAAGGAAATATAGCTGTCAAACCTAAACAGTTGAGTAGGACATGAATTTTTATTTGCCAGTGATTCTGACTTTAGGCAAATTACTTCATCTTTCTATGTCACAGTTTTCTCAGCTATGAAATAGCTGTAATAATAGTTTCTGTGATGCTTTAAAGTAGAAGTAATGATTATGGTGAAGTCTCAGAGTATTCATGGGAAGTTTTGGTTGGCCACGCGTGGTGGCTTATACTGGTTATCCTAGCTCTTGGGAGGCTAAGGCAGGTGGACCTCGTCTAGGTCCTCGTCTCTAAAAATAGCCAGACGTTAGCCTGTAGTCCCAGCTACTTGGGAAACTGAAGCAAGAGAATTGCTTGAGCCCAAGAGTTTAAGGTTGCTGTGAGCTATGATGCCATGGCACTTTACCAAGGGCAACAAAGTGAGACTCTGTCTCTAAAAAAGAAGAAGAAAAAAGTTTTGGTTGAAATATTGTCACAATATAGATATGTGTCACTTGTTTAGGTAAGGCAAAAGAGAAAGGTGTAACAGATAAAACTTTCTCAGTCTTGAGAAAACTTAGATCTTCTACCATTTTCTGGGGATTTTAATATTTTTTCAAAAGTGGTGTGAAGCATTTGCATAATTTTTTTTGCATCAGGAATTCTCAGTTGCTGTTGGATAGGCTTATCCTATAATGAATCCTAATTTTTTTGAGAGAGAGTCTCAAGCTGTTACCCAGGGTCAAGTGCCGTGGCATCACTGCTCACAGCAACCTCAAACTCTTGGGCTTAAGCGATCCTCTTGCCTCAGCCTCCCAAGTAGCTGGGACTACAGGCGCCCTCCACAACACCCGGCTATTTTTGGTTATAGTTGTCGTTGTTGTTTGGCTGCCTGGGCTGGATTCCAACCTGCCAGCTCTGGTGTATGTGGTTGGCACCTTAGCCACTTGAGCTATAGGCGTTGAGCCAGAATCCTAATATTTCCATAGATGAGAATTAGGTGGGCAAGGGCAAGTGTGAATCAAATGAGCAGCAACCTTAGAAAAACTTCTGCAGAGGTCCAGTTTTTTAAAGAGACAAAAGATTTGAATAGTCACTTCACAAAAGAGGATTGTTAGGCATATGAAAAAATGTCATCACTCATCAGGGAAATAAATTCCAGTCATTACAGGATACAATTGTACACCTACCAGAATGGGTTCAAATTAAGAGTTGGTAAGAATGTGGATAATTTTTTTTTTTTTTAAAAGAGACAGAGTCTCACTTTCTCACCCTCAGTAGAGTGCTGTGGCATCACAACTCAGCAACCACCAACTCCTGGGCTTAGGCAATTCTCTTGCCTCAGCCTTCTGAGTAGCTGGGACTGCAGGTGCCCACAACGCCTGGCTATTTTTTTGTTGTTGCAGTTTGGCTGAGGCCGCATTCTACCCCTCCACCCTTAATACATGGGGCCCTACCTCATGAGCCACAGGCACCACCCAGAATGTGGATGATTCTTAATCATTGCTAGTGAGAATGTAAATTAATTCAATCACCTTGAAAAACTGGCAGTATTTTAGACTTTAGAGAAGTCTTTTTTAAAAAAGGTTAAAATGAAAAATGTTTAAAAGAAAACTAAGGTTAAAATGAAATGATTAAAGTGATTAAAAAAAAAAAGTGGCTCAAGC